ACTCTTCGATGAAGGGTGAATGCATGTATGATATTGTTTAAGTTTTAGAAATGCAGATGTTTTATTTATGCATTAATGTTTATACCTCCCATAGTTGATGGATGGTTACTATTATAATATGCTCATGATTATGAACACCGAGCAAAGCCTAATGTTATATACCATTCTATCTTTAATAACTGCATATTTCATACATGATACAGTGATGCACGTAGTTGGGATTTATGTAACAGTCGGAAGATTGGTTATAGACGGGTTAAATCTCGTCATAATCAATATTTTTGATTCAATGCATAAACTGGAACTTTGTCTTCATTGAATTATCAACCTGCCGATTCAATAGCTAGAGTAAACCTTTTGAATGGTTCACCTTCAGGTGTACTAAGGATATTTGATTGTTGCATGGTATATAGACCTTCTGGCTAACCTAATCAATTGATGTGATATGGTTCAGTTATATATCAAACCTACTGCTTAGCTTTTCAATGAAATGGAAGTTAATTTTTGTAAGGTGGCATTTTCATAAATGAACAGTGTAATATAAGTTGGATCCCCGCACTGAAGAGTACCTTTTTATCATTGTCATTCAAATTTTTAGTTAAGTGTTTATTTAATAATTCTAAGCTCACACTGCAAGCTATTCTGTTGCAAACTACACACACGACAATTTTACCATTTTCTGTTTTGAATAACTACAGTTAGTTCTCTGTGGGTTCGACCTCAGACTTAACAGAGAAATATTGTAATTTGACCACTTATACTTAGGTGTGTGACATAAATTAGGTCAGATCACTTAGCCTTGGTGCCTGGTGTTTCGTGGGTTTCTCTGGATTTCAGAACAATAATGGGGATCATACACCTGCTAGTACCTTCCCTGTAATTTGAATATGCCTAAGTCTGCACCATCAAATATTTTTTCAAAGCCATTATAGATTTTCACATCTCATTCTCCTCTAGTGCTGAATTGGAGATCCTTGTCAGTAAATTCTTTTACCACATCATCTAGTGGTATAGAATCTAGCTTGGCCATCTCCTTGGCACACTTGAAACACATAACCAATGGCTCTTCCTCTCTAGAACCAAACCTGTTGTAGACTAGTAGCCTCATCTTGAGAACAAACCTTTCTTTTCCAACTACCAAACTGGCAATGTTTTTGTCTTCCTGCAAATTAGTAGAAACCATATTAATATTAACTTCCTTGGGGAATGGGTCTTTGTCTACAACCATGGTTTCTTCGTCTTTTTTGTAGTACTTAAGCATTCCTTTTTGGATTAAATCCTTCAAAGGATTTCTAAAGGTGATGCAATTTTTAGTCGAATGCCTAAATGAATTATATCATTTGCAGTATTCTTTTTCCTTTCTATCTTTTTTTGGCAGGATATTATGTGCCTGAGTCAGGACAATAAATTTTTGGTTGATTAACTCATAAAAAAGTGCATCAATCATTGATAGATCAAATGAATATTATCGAAAGGTTGAAGATGCATCCTTCTTGAAAGGATGGTTGGATGGCATATTCATAGTATCCTCAATCATTTTCAAGGTGTCACACATTATTGATGACTTTCCTATGATCTGTGTCACATCTATTTCAACTTCTCCATCAAAGTCTTGAAAATAAGTTTCTAGTGAACTATTTTTCCTCTATTGCTCTTCTCTGGGCAACTTCTCATATCTGGTGGCCCTGGCTAAGAGTTCAAAGAGATATTTGAACTCCATTGCTTCAAATTTCTTTCTTAGTTTGAAGTCTAAACCATTTTGGGCCAATTTCATTAATTCAACTTTAGACAAGTAAACATGACATTTGTTTCTACCTTTTTTTAATCTGTCGATGTATTGTTCTACAAATTCATTTTATTTAAGTCTTAATCTTGACAAATCTGCCATCGAAACTTCTGGTTCATTTCTAAAGAATTGAGCATGAAACTGCCCTTTAATTTCTTGTCAAGTTTGAATTGAATTGGCAGGCAAATTAATGAACCAAGCAAAGGTTGTCTTTGTTAAAGATTGTGGGAATAGTTTCATCTTCAAATTTCCATTGTTTCCAATTTCCTCACATTGGAAAGTGAATCTGCCTACATGTTCTATGGTCGATTGATTCTCTTCACTAGAGTAAAGATGAAATTTTGGGATTTTATACTCCCTTGAGAATTCCTCATAGTCAATCCATGGTAGATATGATTTTCTGAACACAGGCCTTTTAGCTTTTCTAAGGCCAGAGCTATACAAATCTTGAATCATCTCTACTAGTTGATTCCAATTAAATCCATGTTTTGGTGGCCTGCTAGGTATTCAAATTGGTCAAAGATTTGCCCCCTACCCTTGGGTTGAATTACTCTATGGGTTCTAGTGGGGGCATGGCATGCATTTCATTTCTTATAGGAAATTCAATGGCCATCCTTGGCCCATTTATTCACCTAGGATTCCTCCCTAGAAAGAAATTAGGGAACATTTTGACAGGTTTCTTATCGAACACCATATTAAAATGATTTTTGTGTGGTGAGTCTAGTTTATCATTGCTCACCATTGGTGGTGATCTCTAATTTTCTACACAAAGCACCACAAGACCAGTATTTCCTTTTTCTACCATTTGATTTCTAATTCGGTAGTTGATTTTTAATTAGTTGGTCCTGGCACTGGTGTCTGGTATCTAGACATTCATTAACTCATGCATGGTATTAACTAAATCTTGTCTAATGCCAGAATTGAGATTGTGCCATACTTGCTTCAAATTCTGCACAAACTCTTGCATTCGCTAACTATCTTGGTCACTAGATTGGCCATTTACTGAATTTTCAGGTTCCAATGGGTTGGTAATTGAACTTGCTTCATGATTGCCACTTCTTGGGGTCATTTTCACAGTTTCATTGGGTGCCAAACACAATCTCATCTAATGTTCTTGTTCTAACCATTTTCTTGATCCAAATTAGTAATGTTAACCCATTGAACATGCNTTCACAGTTTCATTGGGTGCCAAACACAATCTCATCTAATGTTCTTGTTCTAACCATATTCGTGATCCAAATTAGTAATGTTAACGCATTGAACGTGTGAAAAGATTGTTACTCCAAAATCTATTGAGATCGATGAAAAATATCTTAATCGATAGACAACTTTCAAGCAACTGTTTGTGAGGGGTTCAAATTCCTTGTTTCAAGACTTCCTTAGATGAAATTAATGGAAAAAACACATAGTACAGGGAACTAATAAAAGAATATTCATTTTTTAATTCAATTGAAGGGACTTCAGTTACAAAAAAGACTAAATAAACAACCTTGATTGTAGCAGTAACTGCTACTTAAAATTAATCTAAAACTACTCCTAAAAATGGCAAGATCGTGGGTCTTATAGAAGTTTGAGTGTATTCTCGTCTTCTCCACTACATGCTCTTTTATAGCCATTGTCCTCGATGATTTTTGTTTTCATCGACAGTTATCTAACTAGTTACTTCCAGTTAGTTATTCTTCTTTTCAAATATGGCTATGATTGATCGTCTCCCGCCTTTCTCCAGATTCTACCACATGGCATCTTCTCAATGCATCCAAATTTGTCAGATGTCAATACATTACATATTCTTAGAATTTTATATTTTATGTCCAAACACCCTGCTTAGATGGTGGGAAGAGTGGATGTGGGTCATATTAGATGTGGTCAAACGGTACATATTGTGTTTTGCCCTCGTTCAAATGTTCTTATGATCTTAAGTTTGAATTCTTGACAAATTGCTTCAAATGAAAACAAGCCCTCGAGCTAAAGGGATACTCATATTTGATTTCAACTACGTTAGATGCATGATGGCAAACACTCACATTTTTTAGCACCTAAAAGTGTCTAAACAAAAAACAAAGTTCTCCAAAAAGGGGGCTAAACGACTGGTTCTAAATCAGTCGAGTAGGACCAAACTCAGTCGACAATGTCACTGCAGAAACTATGTTTCTACGTTAGTGCTTTGAGAGATCAACCTAAGGTTTCATTAATTTATTACTGTTCCTCATAGTTGAACTCAATATGAATGTATTATTTGAGGTGAGTGGCCTTGGGATGAAATCATAAGGATACCCTTGGTGCGATTACAAGTTTGAAAGTGGCCAAATAGGAATAAAATTAGACAAAGAAGAAAAAAAAAATGGAGTNCCTTGGTGCGATTACAAGTTTGAAAGTGGCCAAATAGGAATAAAATTAGACAAAGAAAAAAAAAATGGAGCNAGGTGAGGGGCCTTGGGATGAAATCATAAGGATACCCTTGGTGCGATTACAAGTTTGAAAGTGGCCAAATAGGAATAAAATTAGACAAAGAAGAAAAAAAAAATGGAGTGATAACCATTGCTGGCTCTCCACTTTTTTTCCTCTCTTGGACTTTTTCGCAAATATCCGAGGAGAAGCTAACAAAACTTACGAAACTTCAAGAAAATTCAAACAATAAATTATTTGAATTAACAAAGAAGACACAGTCACTTGTACAGCAACTCTTGGAATGTGTTTTCATTTTACAATTGGGTCCATGAGAGACACCCAAATGAAATAATAGTGAAGTGTTTTCTCGAGAACAACTAGCAGAATAGCAAGTGTTTTCTCGAGAACAACTAGCAGAATAGCAAAACTCAATTAGAGAGAGAGATGTATTGCCAGCATACATCCAGCATACTATGTTGCAAAGCAGGTGCAGCTAACTCGAAGCTCAAGCAGAAATGCAGTTACAATTTCTCTTCGATGCCCAAGACTTCACTGACCAGATACTTTTTTTCTTTCTTCAATGGTCAGATTCAATGTTTGCTTGAAGGAGCGTAACAAGTGGAAAAGGCTAAATTGCACGCACTTTTGACCTTTCCATACAGAATTTTCCAGACCATTGTTNAGATACTTTTTTTCTTTCTTCAATGGTCAGATTCAATGTTTGCTTGAAGGAGCGTAAACAAGTGGAAAAGGCTAAATTGCACGCACTTTTGACCTTTCCATACAGAATTTTCCAGACCATTGTTTCTTGGAACTCCTATGTGAACTAATATCTTATTGGCCCATCCAAGTTCCCAGAAGCAAACTGAAAAGATAGGCAGAAGTGACTGCTTAGAATCATCATGAGTCTAAATCATGAAATAAAGCAAAAGGTATCATTCTGCATCTTATAAGGACTATCATTAGACTTGCCGAGGACCAGANAAAGCAAAAGGTATCATTCTGCATCTTATAAGGACTATCATTAGACTTGCCGAGGACAAGAAATCGTGTGCGAGAGTGTCTGTATGTGTGTGTGTGAAAGAGAGAGAGAGAGCACACAACTTAGATATAACACTTCCGTCTAAACCTAAGAAAAGAAAATATAAATATATACCCATTTTCATAACAAAGCAAGAGATCTTATGAACCTTAATATCAGTATCATAACATAAGTCAATTTTTGTTGCCTGCTATTAGTGCGCCATTTCAGGGTCAACTTCATTGAAACACACAATTCCAATCATTACCTGCCTTACAATTGGATTTGTTGACGAGGCAAACTCATTAGTCATTCCTTCCCAAACAACCTTCCCCTCATAGAGAAACAACAACCTACACATATCAGGATACATTTAGCTGAGGACAATAAATGAGATTCAATCACAAGGGTTCTGGACTAAGCAATACCTGTCAACAGCTCTTCGAATGGTACTATGCTGGTGAGTGACAACAACATAAGATGCAATCTTCCCTGGTTTCCCAAGCACATCTTCACCTTTTGAATGAACAGAGCGTATGAGATCTTCAACTACGGTTGATGCAATTGGATCAAGTCCAGCTGTTGGTTCGTCATACAAAAGCACCTGCACCAGAATCGGGGGAACTTAAATCAGAGAACTTTTACAGATGCATTTGTATGTGAGATTGTAGCATAATGACCATCACAATAATAAAAATTGGCAGAATATGCTATGCATCTCATTATTAAATGGGTTTTGCAATCTTTTCTCTTCCCCTAAGCTAATCTTACTGCCACAATCCCCCCATCAATGGAAACAGTCAAAAACAAATCCATGACATGTTGACAATCTTGTAACTTCTCGAAAAATTTGTGCCTGTTTATAGCCGCAAGGGGGGCTTTTTCTCTTTTCTTTCTCTTTCTCTTTCTCTTTCTCTCTTCTCTCTTCTCTCTCTCTTTCTATCGGAAATGGCAGCAAAGAAATGGGAGGAAATCTGATTTTTTACCCCTTTAAATACCCCTTTGAGTGCTTGCCTCATAATGCGCCACACATCCCGATTTTTCTAATCCGATTTTATTCCAAATCAATTAAATCTCATCTCGTGTTAAATTCAATACATTTTTATTGAACTAACTTTAAATAATTTTTTGGGTTCCGAGAATAAAATCTGACCGCGTCTATTTTAGTCGGGAGACGCCCAATTGCCTCGTAAAATGCAAAAAAATCGACTCTCATAATTTGACAAAAAATGACTAAATAGCTAGATTTCGCGATACAAATACAATATTGAGGTCCATTTTGTCATCCGAGTCCTAAAAAAATTCAGATTTTTTCCCCGTACCGTAACGACTAATTACTGTTTTACCCTTTTTAATTAGGTTTTAATTTTTCCCGGGTTTACACAGTTATGGATTATAACCCGAAGAAAGATCCGGATCCCTTCAACGTCGTCGTCTTCGCGCATCTGGTTCTCTTGAACCCTACGTTCCTGACGACATGCGACGAATCCACTCCAAAAACGATGCTGACTCCACCCTAATCACCAGCGACATCCACGACACAATCAACAAGACCTCTAGCGACAGAATAACGACAAAGAAGAGAAAACAGCAACTCAACTTCGATGGCTGGACAAACAACAACGACGCAGCAACTGGAGTTCATCACCATTGCATCGTTCATCGCCACTTTAACGACCTTCAACCACCACCCACGACCACTGGTTATGAATAAAGTGACATAAATCCTAGACCATGGTCGTGGGTTGTACAGTAATCCTTTCCAGGAAAGAAAGAAAAAAAGAGAGAAGAAAAGAAAAGAACAGGAACGNCATCGCCACTTTAACGACCTTCAACCACCACCCACGACCACTGGTTATGAATAAAGTGACATAAACCCTAGACCATGGTCGTGGGTTGTACAGTAGTCCTTTCCAGGAAAGAAAGAAAAAAAGAGAGAAGAAAAGAAAAGAACAGGAACGAGAGGGCTGGGCTCAAGAATTCAGTACTAAAAGCAAATTTCATATCAAATAGGCTCTGATACCATGTTAGATTTAGAGAATAGAGAGAAAACCATAGAGATGTAGAGAGTAATATTTTATGACCTACCTCTCACTCTCAACTTGTATTTATAGTTACCTAGGAAAACATAAAGGACTAGTATACATATAAAAAACAATATAATAGTAATACTCTCAATAGTTGCTATATGTATATTTGGACACTTCTATGAACCACATAAATTTGATACCATACCTTTAGAAAGGCATAACTCAAGGGGGACCTTGTAAAAGCTTGATCAAAAAATGTTTGTGAGAGTGAAATTAGAGTGGATTTAGAGTCTAGGTTAGCCTTGAATATTCCTAGGAAAAAAATCCCAATGTAGGCCTTGCATAAGATGCATTAGGCAAGAGGTAAGTGACCCTAGGAAATCGTATAAGAAATCCAAGATCACGAACCCTCTAAGTTGGCTAGTGGATTATCCATTTCTAAACCAAAAGGTCATTGGGTTAGGCTAAAAAACTCATACTAGTGGATTGAACTCCCGCCATGGAGATTAGAAGAGCGGATGGAGACTAAGTGGTTAGCCAAATGACGATATGACATTGTGTTCACTAAGTGATTTATGATTAATTAATATATAAAGGACAAATATCATAACATAATGCAAGTTTTCATGCAAGTTTGGTATTCTAAACGATTAAACACAATGGAGAGATATAGCAGACTATAAGGCCCGTATAACAACTTAAACAAATTAGATGTTTGTTCCAAAAAATTTAAATTGGACAAATTTTGTATACAAATTGTACCAAAGCACGGGTTGTAAGAACCCTAGTCAACTAGTATTACAGCCAGTCGACCAGACCATTACCTAATGGATTAGGGTGCTAAGTATGTTTTTTGCACTTAATGCTTCATTTACCAATCAAAGGACTAACTTGATATTGCTCACACTTTCTATGTTGGAGCTTGACTATTAAGTGAATAACAAACTAAAAATTGCACTAGTCACCCAAATTTGAATTAACAGGTGTATTAATTAGCACTTCAGTATCTAATCCGCATTTTTGCTGATACACTATGACTTTTTCTTTCAAGATACGAACAGAAAGTTACTATGAAATATATCTTGCATATCTTGGAATCGATTTCAGGACTGTAGGGGAATATGACTAAAGAGTTCCATCCTGGTTCTTCACGTGTCTAAGGAGAAAATGAAGAGGTTGGCAGGTGTTTTCGAGCATGTGGTGGAGACTGGATTTTTGGAACAAACATCTAATGTGTTTAAGGTGTTTTTGAGCATGTGGACAATATACGTCTGTTTTCAAAGTTCAATCTAATATGGAGAATTGAGAGAATGATAAGACAGTTTTTGTGGGAGGGGTAGGGGAATGGGGATTGGGGAAGGAAAGGATCACTTGTTCAGTTGGGATATTGCTACTCAGTCAAGGGCAAAAGGGGTCTTGCTTTGCGAAATGTTATTCCCAGAGACTGGATTTCTGGGTTAAGTGGCGGTTAAGATCTCCTAATGTACTTGAATCCTTGAAGCATAATGTTCTTAAGAGTAAATATGGCACTCAAGAGAATAGATGGGATTCTCATGTGGTTGATTGGGGACTTCTCAGGGTGCATGTAAATCCAAATCTCATATTTTACATTGTTTCCCCCAATTCTTGACTTTGTGGGAAATTGCGATAAGGTTCATTCTTCGGATGACAAATAGAGCATCTATTCTCCTTTTTCATTACTATTTCCTCTAATGTTCCTATTCTCATAATGCTTCAGTTGCTTCTATAGTGTGTTCTTTTAACTTTCTTCAGAGTTGAAACTTTGACTTCTTTAGAAAATCTAAAGGCTAGGGAGGATATCAATTTTTTGTCTTTGTAATCAATGCTGGATGGGGTTATTTTTAGCCTTCAGTTCCTGATAATAGTGTAGTCTATTCCTTCTTTTGGGGTATTATCTTGTAAGTCTTTTTTGGATGCTATTATTGAATTGGCCATTGTTTGCCCTAGAAAAGATGATTTGGAAGGCGAAGGTGCCTCCTAACATACAAATTTTTTCTTGTTGCATTGCTCATAAGATAATCAATAATCATTACTACTGATCTGTTTCAAAGAATGAGACCTCATTGGTTTTTGTTGCCGCAGTGATAGCAGAGTACTATGTGCTGAAACAAATGAGGAAACTGTGGACCATTTGTACCTAGTNCTACTGATCTGTTTCAAAGAATGAGACCTCATTGGTTTTTGTTGCCGCAGTGATAGCGGAGTACTATGTGCTGAAACAAATGAGGAAACTGTGGACCATTTGTACCTAGTCTGTCCAAGCTTCATTGATCTGGCAAAGATTATTTAACTCCGGGGATTTCATTTGGGTCTCTCCATCATCATGTGTATTGCTGTTTGTCATTGATTTTTGGGGTGTGGGAAAGAGTAAAGTAACTCAAATTATTTGGAGATGTAGCATATTGGCCATCCTTTGGGATTATGGTTGGAAGGGAATGAAGGGATCTTTTGAAGACAACTTGGAAGAAGATGGCAAATTGTGGGAAAATGTTTGTTTTTTGGCTTCCTTCTGGGTTTCGTTACACCGGAGTTTGTGGACATTCTGTTATTTTTTATTAGGGCACAGCTCTCAGTATGTAATGCTTGGTGAATACGTGTTTTGGTTTCTTGCTTCATTGTACCTCTTTTTTCCTTCTCTTTTCGTTGTATTTTTTCTGTTTTTATTTGAAAGATCTCTCATCCTCATTCTATTGACTTCAGATTATTAATTTTCATTGTTGCTGATCAAAAAAAATTAGACGTCCTATTCAACAACCCCTCCCCTGTTTCTTTCTCTTCTTCCTGTACAACTATTTCAGACTTCTGAAAACCCACCTGTTAAGATAAAAGGCTCTATGAATCACAGAAAGGAACAAGGAGGTTTATAGAAGATATTTTATAATCACCTACAGAACCACTTAGTAAACATACCTCAGGCTCTATTGTATCCTTTGTGGTATCAAAAATTATAGACCTGGCCAATGCAACTCTTTTCTTCATCCCGCCAGACAACTCAGAAGGTAATCGATTCTCAACTTCCTGCAAAGAACTTTCATTGTCATGCATAACATTATAGATGCTAATGACTTTTCTTACTGATGTTACTGTTTTTTCTCTTTCTTCCTCCTCTTCTTAAACATACAAGGGTCAAGTCTTGAACTTGCTGTCAGTTGCCGAGTTGTGTTTTTCCCCCGTTATGAAGTTGCTGAGGTATGTTTGTGGGATTCAAAACTTGAATACGACTCTAAACCCATGTCTTCAGTACAAACCCCCCCAAAACCTTACCAAGGTAGCTAGTCAAATGTGAGATAAATCTACATAAATTCCATAAAAAGCAATAGGTAGGCCACAAGCACCGTAAGACATAAAATAACTATGCAAAACATGACTAAAAGGATACGCTCCTGGGGCTTTTCATTAGTTTAAAAATGACCAAAGAGAACATCATATTTAGGAAAGGAATTTTAAATACTGACAAACATTTTTCCACAATGCAAGTCAAAGGACTACACACAGTTTTTCTATGATCATGGGAGGACTGTTATGCATTACTTTTCATTTTCAAACTTTAAGAGCTACTATTCTCTGAATGTGTGGACCTAGAGGCACATAAAGCAAATGACATGTATATAACGTCTGATCAATCCAACCACAAATTCCTGATAAAAAAAAAATCCAACCACAAATTTTCTTTTTGACCATACCTTTAAGCCAACGGCAGCCAAAGTTTCTGTTACAAGCTCCGAAATTTGATCCTCGGGCATGGTGGAATTCTCATACCTGTGCAATTCAGGACAGATGGACAAGATTTAGATGTATCAAGCTGTTCATAGGTGTAAATTTTTGTGAGTNGAATTCTCATACCTGTGCAATTCAGGACAGATGGACAAGATTTAGATGTATCAAGCTTTTCATAGGTGTAAATTTTTGTGANTCCGAAATTTGATCCTCGGGCATGGTGGAATTCTCATACCTGTGCAATTCAGGACAGATGGACAAGATTTAGATGTATCAAGCTGTTCATAGGTGTAAATTTTTGTGAGTGTGTGTCTATATATGTGTAAAGAATGCATAAAATTTGCATTAGGAAACTAGACAGAATCTTACAGAAGAAAACCAACATTTTCACGAACAGTTAAAGAATCAAAAAGAGCTGCACTCTGAAACACCTGTTATTGAAACATTTGAAAATAATATCTGAGATTGCTACTGATAAGATAAACAAAGGACAACAAATATCATGCTTAAGACAACTAACCAAGCCGATGCGAAGACCGGATATCTCCTCATCACTGATCAAACCATGTCGTCTTCTTCCTCGAATAAAAACCTCGCCCTACTTGTTAAACAGCATGGTCCACAACAAAACCCATGATGAAACAAAGTCATGTTAAAGTTGACCTTATTATAGAACCAGATTACCACAAGAATAAGTACAAGCCAACATGAAAAACACATGATACAAATACCTTGTCTGGAGCAAGAAGCCCAGCCATAATCTTTAAGATAGTAGATTTTCCAGTGCCAGAAGGCCCAATTATTCCAACAGCTTCCCCATGCCTAATCTATACATAGAGATTAATTTCTTTCAGTGCAAGTAAATGAACAAAGTGATGAAACAAAGTACAAAAGTTTGAGAAAAAAAATCTCAAGAAAATGGGCATAGAAAAGTATTAACTCAGCTTAACAAAGCCTTTACCCAGCTATTTGGAGTAGGTATATGAATCTTATTTCTCCATTGTGCTCTATCAGATGCCAGTTTTGTTAAACCACGAGCTCTCAAATCTTTTTCTACTATTTCGTTCAAAGTTATTTCGGCGTACCTCTACCTCTCGCATTACCATCGCTATGTGTCAAATGACTACCTCACATGAGCAATACTGGGTTTTCTATAAACATATCCAAACCACCTAAGCAAGGATCAAAATTTCGTTTCAATGCAGTGTTTTGGTCAACTAGAAAACAGAAACGCTTCGACGTGTTTCGGAAACATGGTGAAAAAAATAAAAAATTTAAGAATTATTTTTCCAAAACATTGGTCAAAATATCTTGAAATATCTTGAAACATTCCGAAACAATTGTGCAAGTGCATTGAAACATTACAAAATACCTTGAAACAACAGCTAGAGCCTGGTTAGTGGATTGTCTATTTCAAACCCATATCTGATATAGTAAGGAGGCCAAGATAGGAGAGTAGATATATACACTGGATCATACTGTTATTTTGTTTTTTGGCCTGTAACTGGGTTATACAGCTGGCTTGTTACATAAGTGTACAGGATTTTTTTAGCCGCTTTCTCTCCTTTATGTTGAATAGATCCAAAAATGATTTCTTCATCTACTTTTAAGGTTACATGTAATTTTATCTCTTTGTATCATCTACGCATGATTTACAAAATTCAAACTAGCATTGCTATGTTTCATATTATATTTATTTTTTTCCCACTGTGGGTTATGTAGATCTAGATATCCTTCTAATCAAATGTCCAGCACGGAATAAGGAACCCCAAAAGTCATAAACCTATCAAAAACCACAAAGGCTCTTTTTTTCTCACTAACAGTCTTTTGCTGGGGATAATCCAAGAAAGATGATCAAAATAAGAAAAAGAATAAGTGCTTCATGCAGTTTCAGAAAACTTCCCAGAAGATTTTGCTTGAACATTTTGAAAACTGTTAAAGTCATTACGTCAACCCTTTTATGGTTAGGTTCCCTGATGAACGAATTTCTTTCGCAATTGCATAAATGCATGTGATTAAAGCATTCAAGCAAATTTCATCAATTAAAATCAAACACGATTCACCTTGAAGCTGACCCCTCTTAAGATGTCCTTTTCCCCAAATGACTTATAGACATCTATGCATTCGATAAGCACATCAGTATCGTCAAGCTCTTCCACCATGTTCACGTTCTCCACTTTAGATGAACCCTATTAACAACAACCAAGACATCACCATATACCAGTCAAGAATAATTTCAAGGAAAGCGTCACATAATAAATAGGTTCAGTTATAATAGATATACAAACATAAACACAGTCCAGTAAACTGACCAGAGTGTTGAGCTAAACCCTGGGCAAACAAATAGGAAAATGCCCATGAATAAGAATTTAAGAAAGAAGTAACGACTAAAAACCATATGAATTCATAAGATCCAAATGAAAGATGAGACATTATTTTATGCAATAGCGAAAAATAATAAACCACAACAACATCAAGTAATATAAATGTGACCAAGCAAAGATCAAAAAACAATAAATAATTTACAGGATACATGTAAACCACTAGGAACTAAAAGTTGTCATTAAAATTAATAAAATTGATAACAAGTTGTGAATGAATTTTCTGATATATTATTCATTGGAGTAACAGACTGTTTATATACACAAAATACAGATCATATCTCACCTTTAGGATTACGATTGTAGGACTAAGATAAGGGAAACATAACAGCTAAAAGATAAGATACGTGCAGATATACAGCTACATGTTTATCTAATTCTATTTCAATACTCCTCCTCAAGTTGGAGTGTGAATATCATGAACACCTAACTTGCGGATGAGTTGATGAAAATGAGCAGCACCAAGTGGCTTAGTGAGCAGATCAGCATGTTGTTGCATGGTAGGAATGTACGATGTCTGAATGAGTCCTGCCTGAAGCTTTTCTCGAATGATATGACAATCGATTTCAATATGCTTCATACGTTCATGAAAAATAGGATTTGCAGCAATGTGTAAGGCAGCCTAATTGTTGCAGCAGCAGATCATGAAGAAGTGAGGAAAGCCAAGTGACATCACAACAAGTGTTTGCCATGGCTCGATATTCAGCCTCGGCGGAGGATCTTGAAACCGTATTTTGCTTTTTTGTTTTCCATGAGATAACGGAAGATCCTAGCATGATACAGTAGCTTATAGTTGATCGCTGCAATTCAGTACAACTAACCCAATTAGAATCGCAGAAGGAACGTAACAGAAGAAAACTAGATGATGCTAAGAGAATTCCTTGACCAGGTGAATGTTTAAGATAGCGAAGTAGGTAATGTACAGCATCAAGATGCGGTTGTCTGGGTTTGTCCATATATTGACTAAGAACTTGGATAGAAAATGTAAGGTCACANAAAACTAGATGATGCTAAGAGAATTCCTTGACCAGGTGAATGTTTAAGATAGCGAAGAAGGTAATGTACAGCATCAAGATGCGGTTGTCTGGGTTTGTCCATATATTGACTAAGAACTTGGATAGAAAATGTAAGGTCACGNGACCAAGCAAAGATCAAAAAACAATAAATAATTTACAGGATACATGTAAACCACTAGAAACTAAAAGTTGTCATTAAAATTAATAAAATTGATAACAAGTTGTGAATGAATTTTCTGATATATTTTTCATTGGAGTAACAGACTGTTTATATACACAAAATACAGATCATATCTCACCTTTAGGATTACGTTTGTAGGACTAAGATAAGGGAAACATAATAGCTAAAAGATAAGATACGTGCAGATATACAGCTACATGTTTATCTAATTCTATTTCAATACTCCTCCTCAAGTTGGAGTGTGAATATCATGAACACCTAACTTGCGGATGAGTTGATGAAAATGAGCAGCACCGAGTGGCTTAGTGAGCAGATCAGCATGTTGTTGCATGGTAGGAATGTACGATGTCTGAATGAGTCCTGCCTGAAGCTTTTCTCGAATGATATGACAATCGATTTCAATATGCTTCATACGTTCATGAAAAATAGGATTTGCAGCAATGTGTAAGGCAGCCTAATTGTTGCAGCAGCAGATCATGAAGAAGTGAGGAAAGCCAAGTGACATCACAACAAGTGTTTGCCATGGCTCGATATTCAGCCTCGGCGGAGGATCTTGAAACCGTATTTTGCTTTTTTGTTTTCCATGAGATAACGGAAGATCCTAGCATGATACAGTAGCTTATAGTTGATCGCTGCAATTCAGTACAACTAACCCAATTAGAATCGCAGAAGGAACGTAACAGAAGAAAACTAGATGATGCTAAGAGAATTCCTTGACCAGGTGAATGTTTAAGATAGCGAAGAAGGTAATGTACAGCATCAAGATGCGGTTGTCTGGGTTTGTCCATATATTGACTAAGAACTTGGATAGAAAATGTAAGGTCACGACGCGTGATTGTGAGATAAATCAAACGACCAACAAGACGGCGATAGCTTGCGGCATCTGGTAAGAGAGCTCCATCGGATGAAGGTAATTTCAGATTTTGTTCCATCGGAATCATTGCTGGCAATGAGCCAGTGTCGTCTAAATGCTCCAAGGCATATTTGCGTTGAGAAGGTATATACCTTACTTTGAACAAGCTACTTCAATGCCTAAGAAGTATCTGAGGTGACCAAGTTCCTTCAAGTTTAATTTGTTGTGGACATGGTTCAAGATCGCGGTATCAGCCATCAATTCGGATGGCACTAATACATATTGGTTACAATGTTGTGGCACGGTATTGGTCAATACGTAAAAACTGCTAGATAGAAAGACCAAAAAGATCTAAAAAAATCATGAAAAATCCTAATAAGTATAAACAACAATATTTATGCATCATATGTCCAAAATGTATCATCTATCACATTAAACATGGTGAAAATCAAATATTAGAGCATTACTAAAATACATAGGATCATTGGTATTCTAATCACTTGAGAATCATAAATTATAATGTACCAAGTCTGAAATTTGAAGTTGAAATAGATTATGTAATATATTAAGAAAATGTATTAGCCATAGAGAAATCACTGTTTTGATGACTAAATCCAAAAGAACAAGAAAATATAGTACATCATTTACTAATTATGTTTATTAGTCATACTATCCATAGCCTGATTATTTATCCAAAGGAAAGGACAATCTCATCCAAAATAAAAGAAAAGAAGTCATTATTTACCCAAGGAAAAATTGTCCAAAACAAAAGAAAAAGAAAACCTAGTTAGTGTTAATAGAAGATACCCATAGGTCCCATATGCATTACGTGTCTACTCTGTTTTTCTTACACCGAGAGAGAGAGAACGCATATGGTTGTGAGATGGAAGCCTCAGGCAAGGGAGAAGAAGGAAAGGCAGCCAGTTTCTCAATGTTCAAGTTTTTTGGTATGGGTTCAATTTCTAGTTCTTGTTCTTCAATTTTTGCCAGTTTCTCGGTATTCAATTTGCCTTCTTTGAATTTTTTTTTCTTGGATGCCTTCTTTGGATTATTTCATCTCTTGCCTTTTTTCTATAGCATTTTTTTTCGGTGGGATTTGGTGTCAAATTATATGTGACTCAATTCGATTTGGATTCAAATTGTCCGAGGTGAACTGAGTTTAACCGAGTTGAACTAAGTCGGAGCAAGTCGGAACCGATTCAAGGGAGACTTGTGATATTCCCATATTGTGTATCGTTATCAGATTGGTAGTGGCTGAGTCGAATACAACTTGACCAAGTTATATCGGACTCGGTCAATTCTTTGAATCTTGGTTGTGGAGGAATTCTTTGAGTTTACTGATGGCAAAAAAATCATTACCAACAACTATGATATCATCTACATAGACAAGCACAACAATGAATCAACCTTGGATTGAATAAATTGAGCTTGTGTAAGTGTCGTAGAAAATTTCGCAAACTAGTTACGTGAGGTTTGAGTCCATATAAAGATTTTATGAGTTTACAAACTCAGTCTCCCCCTATCGAGCAAATTTGGGAGGTAGTTTCATATAAACTTTCTCTTCTAATTCACCGTGCAAAAAGTGTTGTTGACATCCAACTAATGAATATGCCATTGGCAAATTGAAGCCATGGCTAGGAGTACACGGCCAATAACCAATTTTGCAATAGGAGCAAATGTTTCATGTTAATATAACCCCATTTTTTAATTGTAACCCTTAGCAACAAGGCGTGTCTTGTATCGTTCAATGGAACCATCAAAATTGAATTTGATCTTGCACATCCACTTGCAACCAATAGGTTGTCTGTGAGTAGGGCTTCGCACCATTTTGGCTTACGAACTGCTTGTTGAAATTCCTGGGTTATGCAACAATAGATATAGCTACAGAAAATGCCCAATGTGCGGGAGAGATATTATCATGAGTGAAATAATGAGACAAAGGATGTAAGGCACTCCCATTTGGACGTGGCCGCCGAGGATGACGACAAATGAGGGAGAGATTGCATGGCCAAAGTACAATGGTAGTCCTTCACGTACCTTGGAAGCTGAGCAGAACGGGTGGATTGTCTAGGAGCAACTGCTGTTGGTGGTGATGTTGATGAAACAAAAGTATAAGTATTATTGGTAGGAGGTGTAATGGTGTTGGAAAATTCAACAATTTCTGATATAGGCAAGGGCAGTGTTATGAAAAGTTCGCTTAAGCGAGCGCCTAGGCGAGAAGCAAAGCGAAGCGAGGCGAGGCAAGGTTGTCTCGCCTTGAACAACCAAGGCGAAGCGAACATGACTGAAGCGACCAAAAAGCGAGAAAAGTGATCACCTCTCACTTAAGTAAAAGGCGAGAAAAGCGAGTGCCTTAATTAAGTTTTTAAAGTTGCTTAATTTTTTAATTATAGACAAATAGATTGTTTTATTTTTATTATGGACCATAGGATTGGGGCAATTGGAAAGAAATTATGAGATGCCTATACACCCAATTACTCCCTTATCCTAATATATACAACACTCAAACCCTAATTGTGCCTAAAGGGTTAAACGACAACTGCTGCTGCATCTACTACTCCTTCCTCGCTAGTGTGGACTCGACAGGTTTGTCTACTCTTTTTCTTCTCTCTTTTTTTCTCTTCTTCTTCTCTATTTCTCCTTTTCTTCTTTTAATTCTTCTTCTTCTTCTTCTAGTTGTTGATCTTCTATTCTGTCTTCTTCTTCGATAGAAAAAAAAAAAACCTAATCTGCTGCTCTATCTTCTTCTTCAACAAAAAAATCACACAGAACTTGTTTTTTCTCTATTTCTCTCCTCCTCCTCTTCTCTTCTACTTTTTTAATTCTTCTTTTTCTTCTTCGACAGAAAATACAGTACATGTTGTTTCTCCTGCTTCTATTGCTACTTCTACTTCAACAACAGAGGTACGTTTTCTTCTCTCCTTTCTTCTTCTTCTGATTCTATGTCTTTTCTCTTTCTTCTCCTCTTTTGCTTTTGGTTCTGGTTCTTCTTCTCTGTTTTCTACTTTTGGTTCTGTTTCTCTGTTTTTATTTCTTCTCTTTTTGCTAATGCTATTTCTTCTCTTTTTACTGATTCTGTTTCTTTGTTTCTGTTTCTGTTTTTTTGTTTTTATTTCTTCTCTTTTTGTTGATCTGATTCTCCTCTCTTCTCTTTTTGTTAACTCTATTTCTTCTCTTTTTGCTGTTTCTCTATTTCTGGTTCTGGTTATTCTTCTCTTCTCTGGTTCTGTCTCTTCTCTTTTTGCTGATCTGATTCTCCTCTCTTCTCTTTTTGTTAATTCTATTTCTTCTCTTTTTGCTTCTTCTCTTTTTGCTGATTCTGCTTCTTCTCTTTTTGCTAATTCTGCTTCTCTTTTTGCTAATTATGTCCTCTCTCTTTCTTCTTCTCTTTTTGTTGATTCTGCTTTTTGTTTCTCTACTTTTGCTGATTTTCTCTAATGCTTAATGCTAATTTTCTGTAATGTTTTTGCTTATTTTTTGTATTGCTTATTTCTGCTGATTATGTACTGCTTATTTCTGTTGATTTGGTATAGCTTATTAAAATTTGAGATATTATTAGTGTTTGTTTGAATTTAAATGTTTGTGGTTTTGCTTGCATTTAAATATTTAGTATTTATAAAATTAGAACTTAGATTTTTAGTATTAATTAAACTAAAATATTTACGTTTTTTTTAACTGTTTGCTTCATTTTAGTAAAGCGTTTCGCTTCGCTTCTCACTTAGGCTTTAGAAGCCTTGGTTGCTTCGATTTGCTTTACGCCTTAAATAACACTGAGCAAGGGTAATGTAGGATTGGAAGACTCTAAAGGAATGTTTTGAAAAGGAAAAATATCTTCATAAAAAATGATGTCGCGAGACACGAAAACAGTATGTAATTCACGATCATAGACCTTGTACCCCTTTTGACCATATGGGTATCCAAGGAAAACACAACGCTTGACTCAGGGGTCAAACTTAGCCCGTTTATGAGCATAACAAATTGGAAAATGGGTCTAGTTTCAGATTTAGGTCTCATAAGATAAACCCAAGTGTTGCGAGCGTAGTCATCAACAATGGTTAAAAAATACCTGGCTCCACTTAGAGAAAGGATCGAATAATCCCCCAAATATCACAATGGATTAGTTCGGATGGTGCAACAGAAGTTATGGAACTTAAAGAAAAAGGTAATCGTGCTTGCTTGGCAAGAGAACAAACTGAACAACGATGTTCATTAGAAATAGATTCCTTAGAAATAGAAACAACGGGACTTGTGTGAGATAAAAAATACAAGCACTTATTTGACAAATGCCCTAAACGCCTGTGCCAAAGATCAAAAGAAGAGATTGAACCAACTGAATTGCAAATTATGGAAGCAAGAACCAACAAGTATTACAGGCCTTCCCGCTCTCTACCTGCTCCAATCCTTATCCTCAAATATTGGTCCTGTAAGACACAAGAATTTGAAGAAAAAGTGATAAAACAATAGGAGACTTGTGCGAGTTTACTGACAGATATAAGATTATAATGGAAGGCAGGCACACACAAAAACATCCTTAAAAACTAATGAATGAGATAAAATGACTGTACCAACATGAGTGACAGGAGCTGGTCGTCCATCAGGTAATTTAACCATAGATGAACCACGAGAAGAAAAAGATGTAAGAAGTGAAATGGAACTGACCTTATGGTCTGTGGCCCCAGTTTCATGATACAAGAACCATGGCTTATATTGGAAGCTGAACTAGAAATATTAGCAGAGAAGTTTGTAGTCAGATGATAGCTACTTGCTTGATGTGTCATAGGCTGTTGTTTGTTGAGCAAATCAACTCGCTATTGACACTGTTCTGGAGTGAAAGGAAAAGCAGCAGAGGATGATTCAACACTTGTTTTGGCATTAGTTGAAGCTGCCACTTGATTAGCTGCACTCGGACTATTGGGTTTGTGAAGTCTATGTCCAAGTGGATATCCATTCTTGTAGCACTTCTCCATGGTATGGCCAACCCAGCCACAAAACTCACAAATTAGTCTCTCTTTTGGCATTTCTATTTAGATTCTTCTCATTGCTGCTTTGAGTGTACGGGGAGGCGCTTTGATTATTGGTGGTGTTAGTAACCAGTACAGCAGAATCTGTGACTTGTGGAGTAGGATTGGAAACCTCCCGTTGTCTCTCCTCTTGTAGTATAAGCAAAAAAGCTCAATTAATCGAGGGAAGTAGATCCAGGAGCAAAATCTGCCCGCAAACACCTGCATAGGACTCATTCAGTCCCATTAAAAACTGCATTGTCCTGTCTTGGAATTGGTACTCAAACAGTGTTTTTGAAGCACCACATGAGTAGGTGGGAATGGGTTGAAGGGCCGACAGTTCATTCCAATAGCTTTTTAATCGTGTAAAATAGGCAGCAATAGACATTTGATCCAAGACAAGGGAATTAATGTCCCTCTGGATTTAAAATAATCTGAGAAAACTGTTCCTTAAGATCTGTCCAAATCTCATAGGACGTCTCAGCATATATAACACTCGCAGCCAAATCCTTCGAAACAGAGTTGAATAGCCAAGAACTTATCATGTTATTACAACAGATCCATTGAGCAAGATCGGGATCATTGAGATCTGATGGCTTAGAGAATGATCCATCAATGAAACAAATCTTATTTTTGGCATTAAGAGCCATGATCATGGCTCTGCTCCATGTGGTATAGTTCTCGCCATTAAGTGGCTGAGAAACAAGGATGGCACCTGGATTATCAGAGTGATGTAAAAATAGATGACCATTGGGATTTTCAGCTTTGCTGTTTCCAGAAGTAGTTTCAGCTTGGCTGTTACCTGAATTTGACATTACTTGGAAATATTGAAGAAAAAAGACTTAAGAATGGAATGATCCTCAAGTTTTAAAAGGAAACAAAATGAATTGGTATAGTGAAATGACCACTGATAGCCGGAGAAGAATCAAAAACTCCCAAGGAGTCTAGGCTCTAATACCATAATAAACTTGATGACAAGTTGTGAATGAATTTTCTGATATATTATTCATTGGAGTAACAGACTGCTTAAATACACAAACACAAAATACAGATAATATCTCACCTTTAGGATTACGCTTGTAGGACTAAGATAAGGGAAACATAACAGCTAATAGATAAGAAGATATGTGCAGATATACAGCTACATGTTTATCTAATTCTATCTCAATAAAAATAAAAAAGAAAACCNGTGTGTGTCTATATATGTGTAAAGAATGCATAAAATTTGCATTAGGAAACTAGACAGAATCTTACAGAAGAAAACCAACATTTTCACGAACAGTTAAAGAATCAAAAAGAGCTGCACTCTGAAACACCTGTTATTGAAACATTTGAAAATAATATCTGAGATTGCTACTGATAAGATAAACAAAGGACAACAAATATCATGCTTAAGACAACTAACCAAGCCGATGCGAAGACCGGATATCTCCTCATCACTGATCAAACCATGTCGTCTTCTTCCTCGAATAAAAACCTCGCCCTACTTGTTAAACAGCATGGTCCACAACAAAACCCATGATGAAACAAAGTCATGTTAAAGTTGACCTTATTATAGAACCAGATTACCACAAGAATAAGTACAAGCCAACATGAAAAACACATGATACAAATACCTTGTCTGGAGCAAGAAGCCCAGCCATAATCTTTAAGATAGTAGATTTTCCAGTGCCAGAAGGCCCAATTATTCCAACAGCTTCCCCATGCCTAATCTATACATAGAGATTAATTTCTTTCAGTGCAAGTAAATGAACAAAGTGATGAAACAAAGTACAAAAGTTTGAGAAAAAAAATCTCAAGAAAATGGGCATAGAAAAGTATTAACTCAGCTTAACAAAGCCTTTACCCAGCTATTTGGAGTAGGTATATGAATCTTATTTCTCCATTGTGCTCTATCAGATGCCAGTTTTGTTAAACCACGAGCTCTCAAATCTTTTTCTACTATTTCGTTCAAAGTTATTTCGGCGTACCTCTACCTCTCGCATTACCATCGCTATGTGTCAAATGACTACCTCACATGAGCAATACTGGGTTTTCTATAAACATATCCAAACCACCTAAGCAAGGATCAAAATTTCGTTTCAATGCAGTGTTTTGGTCAACTAGAAAACAGAAACGCTTCGACGTGTTTCGGAAACATGGTGAAAAAAATAAAAAATTTAAGAATTATTTTTCCAAAACATTGGTCAAAATATCTTGAAATATCTTGAAACATTCCGAAACAATTGTGCAAGTGCATTGAAACATTACAAAATACCTTGAAACAACAGCTAGAGCCTGGTTAGTGGATTGTCTATTTCAAACCCATATCTGATATAGTAAGGAGGCCAAGATAGGAGAGTAGATATATACACTGGATCATACTGTTATTTTGTTTTTTGGCCTGTAACTGGGTTATACAGCTGGCTTGTTACATAAGTGTACAGGATTTTTTTAGCCGCTTTCTCTCCTTTATGTTGAATAGATCCAAAAATGATTTCTTCATCTACTTTTAAGGTTACATGTAATTTTATCTCTTTGTATCATCTACGCATGATTTACAAAATTCAAACTAGCATTGCTATGTTTCATATTATATTTATTTTTTTCCCACTGTGGGTTATGTAGATCTAGATATCCTTCTAATCAAATGTCCAGCACGGAATAAGGAACCCCAAAAGTCATAAACCTATCAAAAACCACAAAGGCTCTTTTTTTCTCACTAACAGTCTTTTGCTGGGGATAATCCAAGAAAGATGATCAAAATAAGAAAAAGAATAAGTGCTTCATGCAGTTTCAGAAAACTTCCCAGAAGATTTTGCTTGAACATTTTGAAAACTGTTAAAGTCATTACGTCAACCCTTTTATGGTTAGGTTCCCTGATGAACGAATTTCTTTCGCAATTGCATAAATGCATGTGATTAAAGCATTCAAGCAAATTTCATCAATTAAAATCAAACACGATTCACCTTGAAGCTGACCCCTCTTAAGATGTCCTTTTCCCCAAATGACTTATAGACATCTATGCATTCGATAAGCACATCAGTATCGTCAAGCTCTTCCACCATGTTCACGTTCTCCACTTTAGATGAACCCTATTAACAACAACCAAGACATCACCATATACCAGTCAAGAATAATTTCAAGGAAAGCGTCACATAATAAATAGGTTCAGTTATAATAGATATACAAACATAAACACAGTCCAGTAAACTGACCAGAGTGTTGAGCTAAACCCTGGGCAAACAAATAGGAAAATGCCCATGAATAAGAATTTAAGAAAGAAGTAACGACTAAAAACCATATGAATTCATAAGATCCAAATGAAAGATGAGACATTATTTTATGCAATAGCGAAAAATAATAAACCACAACAACATCAAGTAATATAAATGTGACCAAGCAAAGATCAAAAAACAATAAATAATTTACAGGATACATGTAAACCACTAGGAACTAAAAGTTGTCATTAAAATTAATAAAATTGATAACAAGTTGTGAATGAATTTTCTGATATATTATTCATTGGAGTAACAGACTGTTTATATACACAAAATACAGATCATATCTCACCTTTAGGATTACGATTGTAGGACTAAGATAAGGGAAACATAACAGCTAAAAGATAAGATACGTGCAGATATACAGCTACATGTTTATCTAATTCTATTTCAATACTCCTCCTCAAGTTGGAGTGTGAATATCATGAACACCTAACTTGCGGATGAGTTGATGAAAATGAGCAGCACCAAGTGGCTTAGTGAGCAGATCAGCATGTTGTTGCATGGTAGGAATGTACGATGTCTGAATGAGTCCTGCCTGAAGCTTTTCTCGAATGATATGACAATCGATTTCAATATGCTTCATACGTTCATGAAAAATAGGATTTGCAGCAATGTGTAAGGCAGCCTAATTGTTGCAGCAGCAGATCATGAAGAAGTGAGGAAAGCCAAGTGACATCACAACAAGTGTTTGCCATGGCTCGATATTCAGCCTCGGCGGAGGATCTTGAAACCGTATTTTGCTTTTTTGTTTTCCATGAGATAACGGAAGATCCTAGCATGATACAGTAGCTTATAGTTGATCGCTGCAATTCAGTACAACTAACCCAATTAGAATCGCAGAAGGAACGTAACAGAAGAAAACTAGATGATGCTAAGAGAATTCCTTGACCAGGTGAATGTTTAAGATAGCGAAGTAGGTAATGTACAGCATCAAGATGCGGTTGTCTGGGTTTGTCCATATATTGACTAAGAACTTGGATAGAAAATGTAAGGTCACAACGCGTGATTGTGAGATAAATCAAACGACCAACAAGACGGCGATAGCTTGCGGCATCTGGTAAGAGAGCTCCATCGGATGAAGGTAATTTCAGATTTTGTTCCATCGGAATCATTGCTGGCAATGAGCCAGTGTCGTCTAAATGCTCCAAGGCATATTTGCGTTGAGAAGGTATATACCTTACTTTGAACAAGCTACTTCAATGCCTAAGAAGTATCTGAGGTGACCAAGTTCCTTCAAGTTTAATTTGTTGTGGACATGGTTCAAGATCGCGGTATCAGCCATCAATTCGGATGGCACTAATACATATTGGTTACAATGTTGTGGCACGGTATTGGTCAATACGTAAAAACTGCTAGATAGAAAGACCAAAAAGATCTAAAAAAATCATGAAAAATCCTAATAAGTATAAACAACAATATTTATGCATCATATGTCCAAAATGTATCATCTATCACATTAAACATGGTGAAAATCAAATATTAGAGCATTACTAAAATACATAGGATCATTGGTATTCTAATCACTTGAGAATCATAAATTATAATGTACCAAGTCTGAAATTTGAAGTTGAAATAGATTATGTAATATATTAAGAAAATGTATTAGCCATAGAGAAATCACTGTTTTGATGACTAAATCCAAAAGAACAAGAAAATATAGTACATCATTTACTAATTATGTTTATTAGTCATACTATCCATAGCCTGATTATTTATCCAAAGGAAAGGACAATCTCATCCAAAATAAAAGAAAAGAAGTCATTATTTACCCAAGGAAAAATTGTCCAAAACAAAAGAAAAAGAAAACCTAGTTAGTGTTAATAGAAGATACCCATAGGTCCCATATGCATTACGTGTCTACTCTGTTTTTCTTACACCGAGAGAGAGAGAACGCATATGGTTGTGAGATGGAAGCCTCAGGCAAGGGAGAAGAAGGAAAGGCAGCCAGTTTCTCAATGTTCAAGTTTTTTGGTATGGGTTCAATTTCTAGTTCTTGTTCTTCAATTTTTGCCAGTTTCTCGGTATTCAATTTGCCTTCTTTGAATTTTTTTTTCTTGGATGCCTTCTTTGGATTATTTCATCTCTTGCCTTTTTTCTATAGCATTTTTTTTCGGTGGGATTTGGTGTCAAATTATATGTGACTCAATTCGATTTGGATTCAAATTGTCCGAGGTGAACTGAGTTTAACCGAGTTGAACTAAGTCGGAGCAAGTCGGAACCGATTCAAGGGAGACTTGTGATATTCCCATATTGTGTATCGTTATCAGATTGGTAGTGGCTGAGTCGAATACAACTTGACCAAGTTATATCGGACTCGGTCAATTCTTTGAATCTTGGTTGTGGAGGAATTCTTTGAGTTTACTGATGGCAAAAAAATCATTACCAACAACTATGATATCATCTACATAGACAAGCACAACAATGAATCAACCTTGGATTGAATAAATTGAGCTTGTGTAAGTGTCGTAGAAAATTTCGCAAACTAGTTACGTGAGGTTTGAGTCCATATAAAGATTTTATGAGTTTACAAACTCAGTCTCCCCCTATCGAGCAAATTTGGGAGGTAGTTTCATATAAACTTTCTCTTCTAATTCACCGTGCAAAAAGTGTTGTTGACATCCAACTAATGAATATGCCATTGGCAAATTGAAGCCATGGCTAGGAGTACACGGCCAATAACCAATTTTGCAATAGGAGCAAATGTTTCATGTTAATATAACCCCATTTTTTAATTGTAACCCTTAGCAACAAGGCGTGTCTTGTATCGTTCAATGGAACCATCAAAATTGAATTTGATCTTGCACATCCACTTGCAACCAATAGGTTGTCTGTGAGTAGGGCTTCGCACCATTTTGGCTTACGAACTGCTTGTTGAAATTCCTGGGTTATGCAACAATAGATATAGCTACAGAAAATGCCCAATGTGCGGGAGAGATATTATCATGAGTGAAATAATGAGACAAAGGATGTAAGGCACTCCCATTTGGACGTGGCCGCCGAGGATGACGACAAATGAGGGAGAGATTGCATGGCCAAAGTACAATGGTAGTCCTTCACGTACCTTGGAAGCTGAGCAGAACGGGTGGATTGTCTAGGAGCAACTGCNTGAGTGAAATAATGAGACAAAGGATGTAAGGCACTCCCATTTGGACGTGGCCGCCGATGATGACGACAAATGAGGGAGAGATTGCATGGCCAAAGTACAATGGTAGTCCTTCAGGTGGCTTGGAAGCTGAGCAGAACGGGTGGATTGTCTAGGAGCAACTATTGTTGGTGGTGATGTTGATGAAACAAAAGTATAAGTATTATTGGTAGGAGGTGTAATGGTGTTGGAAAATTCAACAATTTCTGATATAGTCAAGGGCAGTGTTATGAAAAGCTCGCTTAAGCGAGCGCCTAGGCGAGAAGCAAAGCGAAGCGAGGCGAGGCAAGGTTGTCTCGCCTTGAACAACCAAGGCGAAGCGAACATGACTGAAGCGACCAAAAAGCGAGAAAAGTGATCACCTCTCACTTAAGTAAAAGGCGAGAAAAGCGAGTGCCTTAATTAAGTTTTTAAAGTTGCTTAATTTTTTAATTATAGACAAATAGATTGTTTTATTTTTATTATGGACCATAGGATTGGGGCAATTGGAAAGAAATTATGAGATGCCTATACACCCAATTACTCCCTTATCCTAATATATACAACACTCAAACCCTAATTGTGCCTAAAGGGTTAAACGACAACTGCTGCTGCATCTACTACTCCTTCCTCGCTAGTGTGGACTCGACAGGTTTGTCTACTCTTTTTCTTCTCTCTTTTTTTCTCTTCTTCTTCTCTATTTCTCCTTTTCTTCTTTTAATTCTTCTTCTTCTTCTTCTAGTTGTTGATCTTCTATTCTGTCTTCTTCTTCGATAGAAAAAAAAAAAACCTAATCTGCTGCTCTATCTTCTTCTTCAACAAAAAAATCACACAGAACTTGTTTTTTCTCTATTTCTCTCCTCCTCCTCTTCTCTTCTACTTTTTTAATTCTTCTTTTTCTTCTTCGACAGAAAATACAGTACATGTTGTTTCTCCTGCTTCTATTGCTACTTCTACTTCAACAACAGAGGTACGTTTTCTTCTCTCCTTTCTTCTTCTTCTGATTCTATGTCTTTTCTCTTTCTTCTCCTCTTTTGCTTTTGGTTCTGGTTCTTCTTCTCTGTTTTCTACTTTTGGTTCTGTTTCTCTGTTTTTATTTCTTCTCTTTTTGCTAATGCTATTTCTTCTCTTTTTACTGATTCTGCTTCTTTGTTTCTGTTTCTGTTTTTTTGTTTTTATTTCTTCTCTTTTTGTTGATCTGATTCTCCTCTCTTCTCTTTTTGTTAACTCTATTTCTTCTCTTTTTGCTGTTTCTCTATTTCTGGTTCTGGTTATTCTTCTCTTCTCTGGTTCTGTCTCTTCTCTTTTTGCTGATCTGATTCTCCTCTCTTCTCTTTTTGTTAATTCTATTTCTTCTCTTTTTGCTTCTTCTCTTTTTGCTGATTCTGCTTCTTCTCTTTTTGCTAATTCTGCTTCTCTTTTTGCTAATTATGTCCTCTCTCTTTCTTCTTCTCTTTTTGTTAATTCTGCTTTTTGTTTCTCTACTTTTGCTGATTTTCTCTAATGCTTAATACTAATTTTCTGTAATGTTTTTGCTTATTTTTTGTATTGCTTATTTCTGCTGATTATGTACTGCTTATTTCTGTTGATTTGGTATAGCTTATTAAAATTTGAGATATTATTAGTGTTTGTTTGAATTTAAATGTTCGTGGTTTTGCTTGCA